AATTAAAAAACAAACAAACATGTATACAGACTACATGCAGTGAACAGAGCGCAAATGACACTTTGTAGATTTGCACTAAAAACAAACTGTTTTTATATTTATATTAAAAAAAAAGAATAGTCACTCAATGATAAATAAGCTTATTCCATCCCATATTTTAAGCCAGTAAATATTATTGTTTTCAGGCTTTGTCAGTATTAAATACTATTATTATAGTCTAATTAATCTGAGGCATCATCTATAACTAGATGCCGTCGCATAAAACTGATGGATTTAATATTTATAAACCGTCTTCAAATTTACAAAACACAAGAAAAACGAATAAGCAAAAATTCATAACTTAATACATATAGAGGCCGTATACCACACCTCAAACATTATAAAACAAAAACGGACACTAAATAAAACTATAATATTTTCTATACATTGAATGCTCTTTTTTTTTACATTAGAATTAAAACGTAAAGAACACCATATCGAGGATTATATAAGTTTATAGTCATTCTATTTCAAGACTGTATTATTAACAATAAAAGTTGATAAGGTTATCATATTACAGTATTCATACCATGTATAATGCTACCCTTATGTGAGTCTTATACTTTGTTACAACAAACTTTTAATTCGGTTCGTAATTTTATGATGTATTTGTATATCTACAACTTATTTTCGGCTAAAAGAAACGTGTTTCTGAATTCCAAAATGAAAGTGTTAGCAGATCATTAATATAAGACATTTCATTTTTGTAAACTTTTCTAAATTATTGATTTATAGAATATAAAGAAAAGAATAAACTAGAGGGAAGGTATTTAGTAACCAGCACCCACCGCCAAGTCTTGGGTTATTCTTCTACAATCGAAAAATAGGATTTGACCGTCTCTCTTATAACGCACTGACGGCCTCAAAGTGCGGAACGCAATTGTTCTTTTTTATTTGTTTTTACAGTAACATGAATGATGGATCTGCAAATCCATAGTTTGGCACGTTAACACTGGGCTAGGGGTTAGATATATATATTTACTTCTACAGTCGATACTAATAAGTATTCGATGAAAAATACATTTTTATTCAAATAGCGAAAACTTGGGTGAAACATTTCACTAATTTCCATTCTTCCACAGACATATCAAGGAAAGACTACATATACTTGTTTTATCATAACATTTATATATATAAATCACACGTCGTTATCTATAGTCAATAGTATATGTAGTTGTTACCTTAAGTAGGAGCGAAGTTCAAGTCTTATCATTTTGTTGCGAGATTCAGTGTACAGAAAGTTTGAAAACTACAGAGAAGCAAAGAATTTTTGAATTTAATTTTTTGTGTGTCTTCATCAATCACATCAAAATATTAAATAGTGTTCTGTTGATGACCAAAAACATTTAAAAAGCTAACGAAATTACGACATAGCATTCCAAGAGAGTGATTCGCCAATCGAATTCAGGTAATGTTTGATTGTTGTTCACTATAACGTTAGGGCTAAGGTGTGGGTTCCTACTGTAAATATGTTTAAGTTCATGATATTCTTCAATCTCTTTTTTTTTCTCACTTTTTAAACTTGGATTGCAGTACATTTTTGTTTTCCTTTATATCTCTCAAATTAAATATAGGATGAATGAAGGTAAATATCGGGAAATACAGATATTCGATTAACAAGGATCTTTAGGTGGTTTTTCTGCTAATAGTTATTGGTACAAAGTGTAGTAAGTAATACATGTAGCCTGCATTAATTAACCTAAGCACGCTCAACTTATGCTATAACACAAAAGTAATATATTCTCATCAATAAAGGCCATTGTTTAGGAATAAAATATCTGGATCAAATTTAGATACATAAAATTAATATAAAACAAAGTCTAGAGGATAAGGAGCTTTTACATGGCAATGCATTTACTTGGATTTAATTGTCATAGAAATATAATATGGTAGCTAGTCAAATAAATGTCACCAAGTGGTTTAAGAACACACAAGCAGATGAGATGACATAGAATTAGACATGTATAAAACGTAATAAAAGTAGCATCCATTCTGGATATTTGGTAAAGAGTAAGCACCAGGTGCTGCTATCTAGTTATGATTTTCCTGGTCAGCATTTTATAAACGAGAGACAGCAATGCCTGAATTTGGTGTTTTTGATCTGGGTCTTTAGCTCATCGGTTGCGTAAGGTGTCATTAAATGAATGTGTAAAGATAGAAGACAAAAATAGGCTGTTAATGTTGTATCCATTATTAGAATATGGTTAGGAGCGTTCCTATAAAAACAAGAAGAAACTGATACCATGAATAATTACCTCTTTGTAACTGTACATATATTATGGTTAACTGAGTCAGTTCTCATACACAAACCTTCTACGTAAAGGTGAACGAGGCGTCACTATTATTAAAATGACTGAAAAGTTTAATAAAATATTAATGCTATTGAATATCTTATGATTTTCACTCATTAAAAACATATTGCAATTGCATATTCCATCCACGTTTTGTAGATAATTATATCAAACCTCTACATAAATATTATCTGATTATTTAATTTATGATATCATAATGGCTCGTCTTCTGGATATACTTGTTTACGCTTGCATCCAGATTACAATGTCGGTTTTAAATCAAGTATAATTGAATGTAAAAAAAAAAAAGAAATTGAAGAGAAAATTTTCGATAAAATATGTTATTATTTTTACCCTAATTTGTGACCGTTAGCAGTATTCCATAAAAAACAAAGTTTTTATACACCATATAAACATTTGGGAAGTAAAGGAGTTAATTTTGAGAATGGAGGTGTTGTATATCTTAGCTACTTAGACACATAATAATGACTATTTTTCTTGTACTGTGGTATTGTAAATAACTTGATATAATATTAATCTTCACATTCATAATTCGAAGTGTTAACAAAATCATTTCGATCTCAGCGGAATTTTTATACTGTTTTTATACTGCTAAGAAATTTAAATGTTTAATCTTTGACTCTAGGTATGAAAGGAAAATGCCATTTATTAGAATTCAACTTCATTTTTGCAATTTTATACATTTTTGCCATCGCTTGTGATGCCATCACGCCATGTTCAGAGATTGAAGATCTCAACCCATGCAGTTGCACTGAGCTTGCTGTGGCAAAGATCTTAAAACATTCTAATGGAACTATTTCATCTTACGAGGAGAAGGAGACTTGGGTGACATGTGACGGTATTGATAGCTTAGGAAACCTCACCATTGCGATGAAACGTTTGAAAGGATTTGAAATAAATACTGCTGTAATATCTTCGTCTAGAATAGGCTATCTTCCCAGTCATCTGTTTTTCGACGTAATAGTAAAAGAAATCCAAATAAGATACACAAAATTAAAGTCTTTTACTCAAGCAGAAGAATCAGCTTTTCTAAGTCTGGAAAACACTTTACTCTATTTATCTATGCGCTATTGTGGTTTAATTGATGGATTGAAGTGGGAAAAACTTGGAGAATTGCGTAGCTTGAACACTTTGGATTTAACGGGAAATCATTTAGACACCATACCTCCACATTGGTTTAATATTCCTCCTCCAGATCTACAATTTCTACATCTCAAGCAGAATAAAATTTCTAAACTACACGACTCATCCTTTGCTAAAATGTACAGACTGAAGATTTTAGATCTGTCTGAAAATCAAATTTCAACTCTTAAACGGACCATGTTTCCGGATCCAGCAAATAATCTCGAGAATCTGTATCTGAGGTAAGTGTTAATGTAATAAAGTATGTTTTATTTTATATCATTGGAGTATAGATGATATTATTCTTACAATTGAATATTTTATTAAGTTTCTACCCCCCTCCATTGACCCAGTGGTAAATCTGCGAACTTATAATGCTTAAAACTTGGTTTCGATACCAGTGGTGGGCACAGCATAGATAGCCCATTGTGTAGCTTTGTGCTTAATTACAAACAAAGAAACAGTTTAACAACTGAGATTGAAAGTGGAAAAATGAAGAAATTGAATTTTAAGTAAACAAATTGAGAAGCCTAAACTGAATATACACTGGTTAAATGTTTCTGGCTTAAAATGAAAAATTTTTTCTAACTAAATAAACACTTGACACGTATAAATAACAGGGTATGCGCTTTACATTCTAGTGACAATGTTATTGCCCACAGTAGCACAGCGGTATGTCTGCGGAGTTACAATGCTAGAATTCGGGTTTCGATACCTGTGGTGGGCAGAGCACAGATAGCCCATTGTGTAACTTTGTGCTTAACTTCAAACAAAAAACAAAAGACAATGTTATTACATTATCCTACCGGTGGAAAATAGCCTTACTTTTTTAAAGTATCATTCGTTCCTAGTTTTAGAAACTTTTCTTTTTGTCACGAATTAGTTGATTTGGTTATTGTATCTTCCTTGGGAAACTGTAGCTCACATAGTTGGCACAACAACTATGTACTATGGTACATAATTTTGACGGAACAACTGTTAAACTAGAAACACTGTAGATGTTCGGTAGATGTTCCAATAACTCTAGAAATGTCAAGTTTGTTTCAAATTATTTACCTATCTATAAAACCATTACTTGTTGTTGGAGATACGCAAGCTTTAAAAAAATCCTGCTTTTCACATTATGTTTTGTTCCAGTAAAGTGTACTGTATAAACTGTTGATTTCTTTAGAACTTGCACTAACGGACCTGGTTGAAGATTGCGTTCTTTAGTATTGTTATGTCACAACAGTGGTGACAGGCTTGTAGAGTGATACATAAAGAAAAAGTCCAAATAAAAAGTCAAAGACACCATTATCAAGCATGATATAAATTAGACCAACTATGAATCAGCTAAGTATTGTGTGTGTTTTTCTTCAAATTGTGGCGAGAAAGAACCATTCCAACATAAATTGTAAAAATATATCCAACCTTTTGAAATGTTAATACAAATATTATATTATATATTTATGGTGTTGTTGAGAAATCACATCTTACTAAACCTCGTCATATCTCACTTTCACAGATATTTCTATTAATGCTAGTTAATAAACACAGTTTAAGAGTAAACAGGGTTACACTGACGGGTACGTGAAAAGATCTCGGAGGATATTTGGTTGTTGTTAAGCGAAAAGCTACCCAATGGACTGTCTGTGCTTTCCTCACCTTGGGTATGAAAACATGGTTTTTAGTATTATGAACTCTCAAACTTACCCTTCAGCCACCGAGAAGAAGGCATCGGAGAATGAGTTGTACTCACCAATTTACACGTAAAGTATCCTATCCTAAAGGAACTATCTAGTGATTAGGACAGTAATTAAGAACTTATTATTCTGAATGTAGGAAATATATCGCATCATTTCTGGAGAATAAGAAATTTAAAAAATGCTTCTATTTTCTCTGTTTACAGTTACAACGAGATTGAGACTTTACCAGGAGATTTCTTCGAAGGTATGTCCAGCCTTAAACGGTTATATCTGGACTACAACAAAATAACAACGCTCCATGAAACCCCTTGGAAACAGATCTGGGGGGAATTAACACATCTGGATCTCACGGGTAAATCTTGCTTTTCCGTAGTGATAAACATATATACTTCGTTTTTATTCCTTTATTTATATAAATTCAGAGGTTGAGTAAGTTATATTTTGGATCCTCACTACGTCGTTACAGACAAAGGCGTTATGTCTGTTCATTTTCTATCTGCCGATAATGCATCTTAACAACAGTCCTACAGCATAGTTTCCATTGCAGAAAGCCCCGTCATAAAATTTTCATGTACAAAGCAATTTTTTCACTGTGTCTTTCCATAATCCATCTAGTTTACGAGGACGACGATTTTCCAGTACATGTTTCAACGATCCGATCGCACAAAAATCCATAGGTTGGACTAGTATGTCATCATATTCTAAGAACTTATGAGTGAGAGCAATTAACACTATGTAATAATATGTTAATCACACCACATCCAGTGCCTACAAGACCTTTCGACAAATACCTGGGTTCCTCAGGGCGGCTGAGAAACGATAGACGTAGTAGTGGTCTAGGTACTATTTATATCACCGATTGCTTATTGAATAGCATATATTTCCGTTTCCTTCTGCATCTTCTTCAGGTATGCGACGGTTGAACCGATATGCCGTGGAACCAACTTGTATACATGTGACGCTTTTTCAGGTGGATAACTTTATTGATTATGTTCTGTCTGGGACAAGTGGGAAGCTTTTGCCTTTGACCTCTGCGTTTGTAGATTTTTCCATGTTACAAGACACCGCACTTTGCATATCATGATTGGGGCACGACCTGTTTCAGGTCTCTTTCTGGGTGATCCTGGTGCCCCAAGTTGATCAATATTCCTTTGTTTTCCAATGGTATCAAATATAAAAGATATTCTCATTTTAGAAATTCTAAATCCTCGATATAAACACATTTTGATGATCTGAGTGTATGAAAAGGCTGTTACATAACTTTTCCAAATACCTGCGAACCGTGGGCAATGCCAAAATGTAGTTCTAACACATTCCGTTCCTCCACGATTTTATATTGGCTGTTGCTGTCACATGACTTATTAATTTGGATATTCAGAATCATATTTTGATATAATATATACTCAACCATCTGCGTTCGATAAAAAAAGAAACTTATTCCGGCATTTTCTTCGGTGTGACCGTTATGAAAATTAAACCAAGAATTCTAGGGTTATTGTTTTATGATTTACAACGAAAGGATCTAAATTATGCTTTTCTTGCTATTAGAATGATGTTTACGTCTACATATTTGTTTCTATTATGATATCCTGTTTCCGCAGCTGTAGAATTTGAGCCCATGTTTTATTGTTTATATAAATACATGTAAAGTTACAAGTTTCTAAGGTTCTTATTAAACAATTTTTGAAATATACATAACATGCAAAACACATTTAAAAGTCTTAGTAAGTATTCAATAGCCTCTGGATGTTTTTGTCTTTACAGCTATGTAAATCTAAACCACATGAGGTGCTTATTTTCGACGTTAGGTAACTGTAAATTCAGTGATAATTAAGGCTGTGCATCTTTGCTATTAAAATTGTAAAATACCCGGGGATACGTTTTCTTCCTTTTACAATTAGTGAGTACAATACTTGTTTCACTTTGGAACAGTATGAGCTACAAATACTCAATGTTCAGACTTTCTTTGTGTTTAATTGTTATAAGTCTCCATGCACCAGAAGCTTTTTTTTTATATATATATCACTCTACAAGCCCGTAACTACCGGAAGGTAATTTTTCATTCTTTTACAGATTTGTGATTAGTAGCACCAATGCTATGTTACAGTTGTTTCTAAATCTTAAAGACCCACACATATTTCAGATCATACTTTTTTTCTTTTCCAAATGGGTGATTATAAAAAATTAAGTTATGTTTCTCTGCTTCTAAATTAATAATAATATAAAGTAAGCGTCTAATATTATGCTTTCTGCTATTAGAAGTTAGTAAATCTGTTAGCAACTGAGGCTACATTTTTCTTATCTTATACATTTTTGTACGTACGAAAACAGCAATAAAAAGAAAGTCACCCCAAAAAATAAGAATAAGCCGAGACTTTGAGGAAAAGAGGTTAAGGAGGTAAAGGCATAGTGGCAGGTAGAGGAATTTCTGAAATTCTTATCTGCACTCCGTCTTCAGTTCTTCTTGCTGTGGTGAAGATCTCGACTTTAATTAACTGCAACAGTGCATCATTAATTACGCATTGCGCTACAAGCTTGATGTATTTTCTTGTTTTATTGGAGTATGTTATGAATATCCACTATTTTAACAACACAAATGAGCACACAAATAAATAATTTTTCCAAGGAATATGTTAGTGTATTTAGATTCATCATTCAAACTGGCACAGAAATTCTGTTACTGAGTTTTCCATAACTGAATAAGCGCCTTTTTAAACACATTTTACCTTAACATACCAATTAAGAAACTCAGCAATCGTACTTGTTGATTTATGAATAAAGGTATAATTGTATTAGAAATTATGTGTCTAATTGGACAGTTAAAATTTGTAAATTTCAAGGAGGCCATATAAAAATAGTTTTATATAACAAAAACAGTCTCCATATAAAATAGTTTTGATATAACAAAAATGGTCTCCATATAAAATAGTTTTGATATAACAAAAATGGTCTCCATATAAAATAGTTTGATATAATATAAATGGTCTTTATATAAAATAGTTTGATATAATATAAATGGTCTCTATATAAAATAGTTTGATGTAACAAAAATGGTTTCCATATCAAATAGTTTTATATAACAAAAATGGTCTCCATATAAAATAGTTTTATATAACAAAAATGGTGTGATACGATTGTGTCAGTCACATCACTACGTAGATATGCACTAGAAAAAAAAAATACACATATATACCAATAAGACCAGAAAATACATCTAACACAGTTACTATCTATTAAGTATAGCAGAGGGTGAAATGTTGTTAGGGGTTCAATAGTTTTCTCATGGGGAATTAAAACCCGGTTGTAAATCACCAAAATTCGGCTTATCCGCTTTCCCTCAGATTTATTGTATCAACTCTAATGAGTATCGTTAAGCCGAAAGACTGCTTCCATAATTGTATAAAACCTGTAAGGTACAGATGCTATGTGTTCTTGCTTCGGGAAATATGCAGATCTATAATTTTCAGAAGTTCAACTTTCCATCTTTTATGCCCGTGTAAACCTTCAAATATCTAATATTGTGCTTATAAATTCTGAAACATCTGGGGCGATGTATTTTTATAGTTCTAAGAATTTGTATATCCTAAGCCATGTCATTCTGCGCCATCTTGTTTTATTAACTGATTGAAGTGGATATATTCTGTCAAGTTATTAATTCTTTCCAATTTATTTTGATTTTTTGTTTACTCTCCAGGAAACCAAATCATGTGCGACTGTTCGATAAAATGGATGACAGAATTATTATTACCATGTTTTTTATTTGGAGCATGTGCAGAACCACCAGGCTTGAGAGAAAGAAAACTTATTTCTTTATGGCCTTGGGATTTAGAATGCCCCAAGTACAGGTCTTCGCCAGCTTCCCAAAACGAGCCTAAGTCCGGTTTTTCTACACGCAATGCTCCCTTTTCAAAATATAGAGCAAAATGCAAAACGATTTTGAAAATGAACCACGAGACTTAAGTTACTTAAAACACCTGTTACTTGAATGAATTTGTAATTTTTATAAATTATAACGCATGTAAAGCTTAAATTTTCATTCGAAAGAGGCACCTTTTTAAATTTTTACAGCAGGCTGACAGAATTGAACTCTAGTGAAATTAATAAGTAAAATATATGTATTGATATGAACGTAGTTATTAAAATATTTTACAAAGGTGCTTTTTTTTTGGTTTGTTTCGTTATAAAGTTTGATATTTTGAATATGCTCATAAATATTCTTTTCACTCGTTTTTACATTTTGATATTCTGAATGTGCACGTAAACCAACTGATTATGTTGCGATATAGGAAAAAGTTTGTAAAAACAAATAATGAAAAGAATCCGTCCACGATCTAAATTTCACTAAATTAAGTAAACTGAACTTGAAAATTGCATGTGCAAACATTTCATTACTACATTTAACCAGCAGCGAAAACCAAATAATAAAAGACTGTTTCTACATAGTTAAGGATATCTGAAGGTGATGTATGTACGAAACATAGCACAAGGTAGGAGTGATATGTGTGGTTTACCGAATTTTTTTTTGGTATAGTTAAGATAAGACGTCTAGAAACTAAAAAGAGATAAAACATATTGAAACTAACAAACATATTTTGTTCTTAATCCTTTATTAAATGTAGTGATGATGAGAGAGATACAAGTTACATATGAACACAATATGTACAAATCAAAACACCCCGATATATATATATATAAATATTAATATTTAACAACGGGTTCAAGTTGAATTGTTCCAAAGAAAAGGTACGATCCTTGTATGAGACCAAAATATTTCAAAACGATACTAATATGCAAAAAAAACAACAACAAACAAACAACAACAAAACAACATCTAAATTCGACAAAACTAAAAATGATACGACTTGAAGATGCAAATAGAGTAATATTAAGTTGTACGTAATTCAAAAAAAAAATTCATGCCACAACTGCCAAAAGTCGAATGAGGTCAATGAACGAAAGCTTTTTTTTGTGTGTTTGTTATTAAATACAAAGTTACCCAATAGACTATTTGTGATCTCCTTAAAGTGGGTATTGAAACCCGAATTTTAAATCCAGACTTACACGTTGAAACACTGGGAGCTGAACGAAAGCACCATCAAACCTTACAGTTAATTGAAAAACCGTTGGAAGTCTTTTAGTGATTACTCAGTAAAGCTTAATAATTTAAGAGGTGAATGGAAGGTAGTAAATTGTTTTTAATTAGACAAATATAATTACCAAACATTGGATAAAAGTGAAGATTTTCTCCTGTTGATCACTGAAAAATATCTGTGAAAACCTGAAGAAACATTAAAACACTAACATGTAAACCATGAAATAAGTTAAAATTTAAAATAAAAGAAACGCTTTCGTCGTTTGGAACGCTAAAATGTTTACCATAACCACAGCTAGACGCTTATATTTTCTTTAAAACAGCAAAAATGATATGTCTTAAGACCAACTGTCCAAGCTTAGATGCCCCCCGGTAGCACAGCTAAAAACCGGGTTTCGATACTCGTGGTGGGCAGAGCACAGATAGCTCATTGTGTAGCTTTTGTGCTTAACTACAAACAAACAAACAAACCAAGCTTAGAACTTCTGTACAGAAACTGTATTTCATGAGCATTAAACTACTTCTGTCGCGTGTGCTAGGCATTGTTAGGTGGTTAGGGCGTTTGACTCGCAGTCTGAGGGTTCGAATTCCCGTCACGTCAAACATGCTCGCCCTTTTAGACGTGGGGGGCGTTATTATGTGACGGTCAATCCCGCTATTTGTTGGTAAAACAGTAAGCCAAAGAGCCTATCACTGCCAAATTAGGGACGGCTAACGCAGATACCCCTCCTGTATGTTTTCGCGAAATTGAAAACAAACCAAACTTCTCCTGTTGCTTGTACCCTGAAGTGTATTACATACTTAGATTTACTTATCTCCTATCGTAGATCTTATGCTGGTTTTTGTATTCACTAAAAGCTTCTTCAAATTTGATTGTGTTGTCTATAAAGAAAGAAGTAATGGGTAAAAAAAATGGTTTTGCTTATACGCAACATTGAAGATAAAGCAACACTTTCAAGTTATGCTGTTAAGCGTAAAGCTACACAATAGGCTATCTGTGCTCTGGCCACTACGGGTATTGAAACACACTTTTAAGTGTTATACGTCTTCAGACTTATCGCTGAGCTACTGAGGGGTTTCGTGTTATGAAAAAAAATTGAAGCAGATCTCTGGAGAAAGCTCAGTGGAAAGAGTTGAAATGGCGTACAGTAGTAGACAAAACAATATGCACTTTCTGCCATCAAATTAACAAACAAAATACTCAAGTCTATCTGAACTACGTCCACTCTAAGGATTGAAACTTGGATACTTAAGATAAAATAGATACATTGTCTTCTGTGCAAAGTTGTAAGAACAAAATAATTTCACTTTAGTTTTATTCGAACATATGCATGTCCATAAGACGAGGTTTTACTGCGACTCGTCGATTCTATGCGTACCTTTCACGAGAGTATTTCATTTGTCTGATGTAAACTGAAATAATTAGCACTGACGAGAAACTATCCTAGGAGATTTATTAATGCCAACTATGCTCAGTGTGTCATGCTTAATAGTCACCCTGTATTGTAAGCTCGTTTGCATTTAAATACCGACTTTGGCAACGCCAGTGAACATCTCCACAATAGAAATGGTAATCTTCCAATATATTCATCAAAATCGGTGACCAGCACGAGTTTATCTAAGAAGATGGTATTGTGTTGTTAAACTAAACGAAACAAGAACAAATTATATAAAAATTCGTTGACCTTTCGCTTAAATAACAGAGAAAAATTAAGAGCATAAATCAAGGACTTCAAGTAAATGCAGTGCTTAGTAAGACAAAGAATTATGCAAAAGAAAATTACTAGAACTATCCTGTGTGATTGATTCCTTACATAAGCGATAACATTAAAAATTGCATACAAAATGAATCTAAGTTTAAATGTATATGTGCAATCAAACGTCACCCAACACCCTTTCATCGAAGACACTGAATAAGATCGAAATTGTTAGATACTACCCATCCTGAAGTAATTGCTCAAGTTATATTACTACGAAAGGTGGTTATTTTGTCAGTTTTGTTTGTTTTGTTTTTGAATTTCGCGCAAAGCTACACGAGGGCTATCTGCGCTAGCCGTCCCTAATTTAGCAGTGTAAGACTAGAGGGAAGGCAGCTAGTCATCACCACCCACCGCCAACTCTTGGGCTACTATTTTACCAACGAATAGTGGGATTTACCGTCACATTATAACGCCCCCACGGCTGAAAGGGCGAGCATGTTTGGTGTGACGGGGATTCGAACCCGCGACCCACAGTCGAGCGCCCTAACCACCTGGTCATGGGTTATCTTGTCAGACTGAAGATCTTAATGTTCAAGATTCGAACAGCGATGCTGTCAAAAAAGCCCTATAGAAATTTTATAACAGTCGCAATCAATCTCGCTATTCGGTTGAGATGATAGTGTAAGCGGAGGGTGCTGCTGACTGTTTTCCTTCTCCTGTTTAGCAGTCTTAAATTAGTGATGGCTATGCCTCAGTTTTGGGATCTCTAATTTAGTCATCTAGCCTATGTCGCATGAAGTGCCGTTTTTGTTGAAAATACCAACCAAATTTTAAAGTCTTAAAAGAGTAGTCTACCAATCAGAATTGGGACATTGGTATAGCGTGCCAGACTGTGAAACCGTGGGTCCATGGTTTGAAACCACATGCCATAAAGTCACACTTCACTCTTTGGGTCATGGGAGCGTTATAAGAGTGATGGTTAAATCTCACTGGTAGATTGGAATAGACGAAGAGTTGTTACTGGGTTTTATTGAATAACTATCAGTTCAGAATGAGAGACGGCTAGTGCAGGTAGCTCTTGTGTAAGTTTGAGGGAATATCCCAAACAAACAAACTGTAATATGCTAGCATATCATACGTTTTATACCCCTTTAGCTGCTACGTAGCTTTTTAAAATTTAAATGTGTTTCACGATTTATTCTTAATATAGAACATCGGTAAAGAAAGGTAACCCGTTTCTCTCATCTTGGTTAATCACAGTACTTCCGTAGTCATAAAGGTCGTTGCATGTGTTTTCCAGTGTAGCATGAACGAAGCTATGAATAGAAGCAGCGGTCTGTTCTGAAGGCGAAACATGTGATTTCTAGAGGTATGACCCACCCCTTGTTAACATGAGAGTGACTCTTAGTCACGTGGAAAAGCGCGTGCGTCTGGGGAAAAATAATTTGGTACATAAATGAATGTATCCCTTTGTTTTGTTTGTTTGTAATTAAGCACAAAGCTACACAATGGGTTAGCGGTGCTCTGCCCACCACGATTATCGAAACCCGGATTTTAGCGTTGTAAGTCCACAGGCATACCGTTGTGCCACTGGGGGGGGGGGCATATTCTTTTGTTAGCAGGATAGTAGAACTGAGAATTTAGACAAAACGAGATTTCTACGGATATCGATTTACTGAAAACCTTTGTCTGCCAGATTATTTGATGGAAATAAAATGTTTTCCTTGAAACTCATAGATTGTGTTCTCACAGCTTCTGGTGGCTTAAGAACAAAAGGACTAGAGATTCATTGGTATAACTGCAGCTCCCACTATGTGTAGCTGACTACAAACGCTTGTCTAAATGTTCTCGAAATTTTTGAATAAAGATTGTAATTGTTCACAGTCTTGTGTCCAGTGCCTTTCTATTTTTAAAAGGCTCAGTCAAAGGCAGAGAAATTTCAAATATTGCTGTGCGCTACAGTATCTGACGAACCCTCCTGTTTTAATGGTTTCCTACAAGATACTCTGAGGGAAGGAGGGTAAACTGGGAATGTGATCATCTATTTTTCACGATATGTATATATTCAAGTCTCGGTTTCAAACCCGAGACCTTTTGCATACCAAGCGAGTACTCTGTCAACTGATCTAAAGAGTTAGCCCCTTAGTATTTTCTAGTGAGGTACTTTTGTAAAACTTTACAAAGACGTCAAAACTATATGTCAAGGTAATAGAAACCATAGTGCTCTTGTAAAACTTTACAAAGATGTAAAAAACCATATGTCAAGGTAATAGAAACCATAGTGCTCTTGTAAAACTTTACAAGGATGTAAAAACCATATGACAAGAGCATTATGGTTTCTATTGCCTTGACATATGGTTTTTAC